AACGTAACAAAATCTGCATGAACGGGAGCGTCGGGTTGAGGGGGAAAACTCCGTCATGAATTAGTTTATGAACTACTAGCTTTCCGCCCGCGGCTTCGCGCGCGTGGACCCCTGAACCCTATGTTTTTCCAAAATAAAATTTAGCCTATGTTACTCGTGGATAATGTAGCTTTCGAATGGTGAAAGAATTTTTTAAATCAGCCCAGTACTTTTTGAGCCTATTCATTACAAACATACAAACATATTAAAATAGGTATAAATCTTTCCTCTTTATAATATTAGTATAGAAGTATAGATAAGTATTATAACTTCAACTGCTTATTAACTAGTTTGCGAAACACTATTCGTTTATAGAAAATTACTATAAATGTTATTGAGCTTGCTTCGTTTGTGGATCTGTCATCTCTTTTAGTTTGAGGTACTTTGTCAAACATTGAAAAGAGAGTTAGACATAAGAGTAATTAAGAGTATACAGTCGAACATATAAACTTCTTTTTTGAAGTCGGTTAAAAATGAAAGTTATCAACAAACTACAAATAAAACAACAAATGAAACTCAACATTGCGAGCTCCTTTCAAACTTAGAGCATACAAACGTCTCTTCAGAGAGCGACAAACAGCTTCGAGTCGAGTAGTGAGCCGTCTTGGCCCTATTTGCGACGGAAGCTTCGCCCTTTGAGCTTTGCCCCGGGGAACGTTTACTCTAATTTTGACTTTTCGGGGCCAGTCCGGTCTTGTCGCAGGGCGACACACATTCGCAATCATCTTTAGCATGTAGTGTTGTTGAGAATTGGCACTGCTTTTAAAAATGTTAAATCATATTTTTTAAAACAATTTTATAAAGTTCCATTGGGAAAAAGGGTAATTGAGAACACGTTACTGCATTCTACTGAACGTCTGCTATGAAATCCGTTCTTTTCAACCGACTTCAAAAAAGGAGGAGGTTCTCAATTCGACCTGTATGTTTTTTTTTTCTATGTTTGTTACGCGATAACTCCGCCAATTATGAACCGATTTGAACAAATCTTTTTTCGGCGTATAGGCAATACCTCAAGGGTGGTCCCATTTAAATTTAATAATAGAAAAAACAACCCCCAAGGGTGGAAAATTGGGGATGAACTTTTTTATACGCAATATCTCCGCCGATTATAAATCAATTTGAANTAATAATAGAAAAAACAACCCCCAAGGGTGGAAAATTGGGGATGAACTTTTTTATACGCAATATCTCCGCCGATTATAAATCAATTTGAACGATTATTTTTTTGTTGAATAGGTATTATCAAAAGGGTGGTTTCATGCGAATTTGAAGAAAATATTTCACCCCCAAGGGTGGAAAATTAGGGATGAACTTTTTTATACGCAATATCTCCGCCGATTATGAACCAATTTGAACGATTATTTTTTTGTTGAATAGGTATTATCAAAAGGGTGGTTTCATGCGAATTTAAAGAAAATATTTCACCCCCAAGGGAAGAACTTTAGGGGTGTACCCTTTTCTCTGCGAAATCTTCGCCGATTATTAACCGATTTGAACGATTCTTTTTTTGTTGCGTAAATAATCACAAGGGTGGTCCCATGTGAATTTGAAGTCGGTTTTTTTTTTAAGTTATTATTGTAAACTTAGGAATATTTAACGATATCCTTTAGTAAAGTTGTAATTGAGTAACAAAAAAATGTCATTGGATAAGGAAAACAGAGAAATCTCAATTTTTATTTCCACACAGTAAAAATCCCGAGTCCAACTCAGCAAATCCAAGCAACACATCTGGAGGCGGCACAAAGCCAGGTCAGCAGAACCTGATCGGAACAAGGCCAGTGGGGCGCGCATCTCGGGAGAGCGAGAACGTTTGAGATTCGAAGCGCTATAGGGCTCAAGAATTCACGTAGCAACAAGCAAGTTTCAAGTAAAATGTATTCTATAAGTTAGGGCAGGTGACCCGGTTTTGGCCATTTTAAGAATTTTTTAGACTTTGAGGCTATATCATTTTATAGTTTTTGTTATCACGGACTTATTTCTTGTAAAAAGTGATTAAATATATTTAGATCTAGCCTAAGGATACATTTTTTTTCATAATGATTCAATGGAAAAATAATCCTGTAGAAAAGAAAAAGAAATGGGAATTTGTGCCATTTTTGGCCAGCTTTACCCCATTTCTGGCCACAGTCATGTGCCAGTTCTGGCCATCAAAATTTATCAAAAAAAAACAAAAACGACTCGACGGATTTTAACGAAACTTGGTACAATTATTTTCCATACTCCTGGGCAGGTTATAGTATACTTAGGAAATCCCACGGGAACAGGAATTAGCGGGAAAATCCTTTTGTATGAAAAATCTAAACCGTTTAAGTTAGACGCTTGAAATTTGGCATGTAGGTACCTTAGTAAACTTAAAGCTTAGTTACAACAAGTGATTCCCGAAATTCCCACGGGCACGGGAATTAGCGGGAAAATCCTTTTGTATGAAAAATCTAAACTGCTTAAGTTAGACGCTTGAAATTTGGTATGTAGGTACCTTAGTAAACTTAAAGCTTAGTTACAACAAGGAATTCCCGAAATTCCCACGGGAACGGGAATTCGCGGGAAAATCCTTTTGTATGAAAAATCTAAACTGCTTAAGTTAGACGCTTGAAATTTGGTATGTAGGTACCTTAGTAAACTTAAAGCTTAGTTACAACAGGATATTGCAAAATTCCCACGGGAACGGGAGTTAGCGGGAAAAAACATTTGTACGAAAAAATCTAAACCGCGTAAGGTAGATGAAGGGGGTAAAACGGGATCCACGCGTACGAAGCAAAAAAATATAAAGCAAATAAATATTTCTGATTCTGATTCTGATTCTGAAGTCGTGGGCGGCTGCTAGTATGAAATATAATATCTCAGCTTGAATTGAAATTACAATTAAGGAGATCAAGATTAACCTATAGTATAAGTTTATGCGGTTAGTACTGGAACAATTTTCTTTTCACAACACCGATTTTTTTAGTATTTAGTTTCGATGGAGGCATTATAATCGTAACTCTGAAAATGAATCGATTACTTATATCAAAATAGCTAATAAATTAAATTGAAAAATTACGATAAAACTAAATGGCCAAAAGTGGGGTTCTTTGTGCACCACTTTTGGCCAGTCATGTGGCCAAAGATGGGAAAATTCAATTATTCTGGCTCCATTAGTGGCCACCTCTCATAAACCCACTTAACCCTTAACTGGTATCGTGGGGGCCGCGCGGCCCCCACGCATGACGTTTTCTTTGATTTCTAAGAAGCTACGCATCGTGGTCAGCCAAAATTTTTGGTATTCTCATTTCGGCGCTACTCGCGTCTGGTGCAGGCGTTTCAGTACTGTATCATTCACCAGGACGAAGATATGCACGTGTTGGGGTCCGCGCGGCCCCCACAATACCAGTTACGTTAGTTTTTTTTTCATGGCAATTTTTATTTGTTTTTTGTTTTTTTGCAGTATTGATGGCTTATTAGTGATAAAACAATAGAAGATACCTAGAACGAAGTTTTTTATTCCAAATTAGTGATTAGTAGCATGTCAGAAGAATGATATAGTGATAATAAAATTATAGGTCATTGTGAAGACCCAATAACCAATATTCGGTCAATAATGAGGATACTGCTTCTGATTTTCTAGTTTTTTCTTCAGAGAGTGAAAATGAAGATGTTGTAGGACCTAGTCAATCCAGCTACTATGAAAAAATAAGTACAAGTGGTCTGAAAATCCACCAGCAACTGCTAATGTTTGTCAACATAATATTTATGTTTTGATTTTTATAAAATGCTTGTTATTTTTAGTAAACATTACATTAAAACGTTATTTATTATTAAGTTCACATTATTATGGATTAATTAAAATAATAATATTTTGATTATAACTTTCTAAACGTAAGTTTCATAGATATTTGTAACGTTACAAAAATATTACGTAAAAAGTTGTTACTATTATGTAATGTCTTGAAGTATATAAGAAGATTTAATACAATAAAAACTTAATGATTACATAGAAAAAGCCTGACATATATCATTTATGAGCATTTATTCAAGTATATAGGTAAAACATGCTTGCTAGAAGCAAACATAGTATGGGGGCCGCGCGGCCCCCACGATACCAGTTACGTATGTCCAATTTACGATACCAGTTAAGGGTTAATAAACATATAGCGATAAAATATCATTAGTACCACTTAGACAGTGTATTCTTCATTAAGGATTAACATAAACATTTAAAAAAATAAGAAGGATTTAGAAAATAATGATTGTTTACTCACCCGCTCGCCTTAGCCTTTTTGCTAAGACTTAAAACAATTAACGCTTCTCAAAAAATAATGACTTGTTGGATTGAAGTGAAGCTTGACACATCAGAGCTGTTAACGCTATCAGTGTTGCTAATATTAGCTATTTTTATTCCCGTAAACAATAGAGTAATATATTTGTCTTTGCCTTAGTTATAACGATTTGAAGTTCTAAATGGCCACAAAGGGGTCGGTGGCCACAACCGGGTCACTTGCCCTACCTACTATTTACGGTAAATTAGTTGTTTTTAACTTACCACTTGATACTATTGCATGTCGCGTGGATGAACACAATTTATTTTACATGCGTTGATTTCAGTACAATTAAGTTTCAATTTGTACATATTCCGTTTCTGCTTTGTAGCAAATTTTCACAGTGAAATACGAAACGAAACGACACATTTAATAACAAAATATTGCTGTGAACAGTATGTAAAATAAACATCACATTTTTTGTGACTAAAACTTACCGATATAAGAGAGTATGTACATCTGGGTGACTTAATGATTATATCACCAGTATGTACCTATGCGGTCCCTTTGCGATAGTTTCCCCCGCCTAGCCGCACAGGCTAAAAGGAGCCCGTAGAGACAGTAGAGTGTGGCCTGGATGCCCCTTATTCAGAGAAAGCTCTATGCCCAGTCTGTGGAATAATTTCAAGGGCCTTAATAGCACTCTAAGTAGTCTAAAGGACTTACCTTCATGAGGTGCAGGTGGGCAGAGACGGCGTCCACTCGCGCCGCGTGCTCGCCGTCACCCACCGGGAACGAGCCCAGGTACTGAAACAAATAACAACTAATTAATATAATGCTCATTAACTTTTTAAAAAATAAAACCGACTTCAAATGCGTGAACACAAAAAAAACTAAAAATTGCGTATAAAAAAGTTCATCCCCAATTTTCCACCCTTGGGGGTGAAATATTTTCTTCAAATTCGCATGAAACCACCCTTTTGATAATACCTATTCAACAAAAAAATAATCGTTCAAATTGATTTATAATCGGCGGAGATATTGCGTATAAAAAAGTTCATCCCCAATTTTCCACCCTTGGGGGTTGTTTTTTCTATTATTAAATTTAAATGGGACCACCCTTGAGGTATTACCTATACGCCGAAAAAAGATTTGTTCAAATCGGTTCATAATTGGCGGAGTTATCGCGTAACAAACATAGAAAAAAAAAAAAACATACGGGTCGAATTGAGAGCCTCCTCCTTTTTTTTGAAGTCGGTTGAAAACATACTAAAACATGGACAATCAGAGTATTTAGATGTCTAGACCAATCTAACCTCTTACTTGTTTAGATATAATCAAGAAATATTACAGGAGCGGCTTACCAGACGCGAGTTGAATTAAAGGATCGTTTATTCATTGAAACAAAAAAAAACCGACTTCAAATGCGTGAACACAAAAAAAACTAAAAATTAAAAATATTGCGTATAAAAAAGTTCAACCCCAATTTTCCACCCTTGGGGGTGAAATATTTTCTTCAAATTCGCATGAAACCACCCTTTTGATAATACCTATTCAACAAAAAAATAATCGTTCAAATTGAATTATAATCGGCGGAGATATTGCGTATAAAAAAGTTCATCCCCAATTTTCCACCCTTGGGGGTTGTTTTTTCTATTATTAAATTTAAATGGGACCACCCTTGAGGTATTACCTATACGCCGAAAAAAGATTTGTTCAAATCGGTTCATAATTGGCGGAGTTATCGCGTAACAAACATAGAAAAAAAAAAACATACGGGTCGAATTGATAACCTCCTCCTTTTTTGAAGTCGGTTGATAAGGCGGCTTTAGTCTCAAGACGATTCGCTTATTGCCAATTACAATTTATACAACAAAGGCGCGGGATCACCTTTAGGCTTTACGACAAAGATAACTAAAAATCTGTGGCATAAAATTTTGGACAAACTTTCATAATACAAGTCACATGCGATAGTTTTTTATACGTGAAGAGAGCGTCTAGAAAGAGGCTTACATTTTATAGGACTGACTTCCGAATTAGAATAGAGGTTTCCTTACAAACCAAATATCGCTTAACCTGCTAGATTACCCCGGGGAAATGAAGGTCGCGGGTTCGGCTCCCCGGAGCCCCGTAGGCGCGCCACGAATTTGCTACGAGCCTCGTAGTCGAATCACAGTGGAACTGTCGCAATTTCATTTACTTCACTGTGTTGGAAGAATTTAACCCTCGCTGTACGAGGTGGGGTGTGACACACCCCAGACCTTTAAAAATAGCCACAATTTTAAAAATTTGCAAGTGCTGGATTTGAAATTCTCAGTAGCTGGAATTATGACACTGCTGCTTCGATCAGCGTTGCAAAATCAGTCCAGCGGTGCCTACCAACTGAGTTACATGCCTTTAAAGTGCATGTGGGTGTCACACACCCCACCTGGTACGGGACGTTGTTAAAAAGTTAAAAAAAAAATCTAACAGTTTTGGTGTAATTTATATATTTTTAGCTTTGTCAATTGAATAAAATTCAATACAAATATTATTTTTCGTGATTTTTACGGTATCTGAAATTTTCAAGCACTTTTAGTCAAATGAGATGACTTTTAGTGCGAATCTGGAAGTTTAGTACTGAGATCCGAAGATGTATGTGAACATACACTTATGGGCTACAATTTATACTTGGTGATACAATTTATGGGCTACAGAAATGGAATAACATATTTTATAAATAAATAAAATTGTTACGCTCCCATTTTATGCACTGAGCATACTCATTTTCTTTCATCAGAATTGTGGTAAATTGAAAACCGATGATCAAAACAAATTTATACCCTTCCAGTTTTTAATTTACTTTTAAATTATAAGTAAATACTTGTACTTTGTTAAATAAAAACGGTTGTCATAATTAAAGGCACTAATTAAAAATTATACATAGGAAACTGATTCCTAAATTACAAGAACAACGGAAATTGTGTCTTTTTGTTTTTTTATGATAAAAATGTTATAATACATATTTTCAGCTCAGAGCATTTCTTAAACCTAATTAGCATACGTAAATAATCAATATTAAATATTAAATTCCACCTAAAAAAATGTTGAATGAAAATTTTATCACTTTGTATATTGGGGTGTGTCATACCCCACCTGGTACGGGACGTAACTTTTAGTCACCTCGTACACGGAGGGTTAAAGTGAAAAGCGGGTACATTTTTACAAAACGGAAAATAATTTCAACTGAACATTTTGTACGAGTACGATGAAAGTGAGTTTTTCAGCTGAACTATTTTCTCTCTACTCTTTGAAGAAAGCATCTGTTATACTTTATTTTATAGCGGTAAATTAATTAAATATCTATCTTTCTAGTACTAAATTGCTGTTGGCTGATTTTGTGGTCATCATTTCATTTGCTGATATACCTACATAGTATGACCACGAATTGTATGAAATTTTACGAGTATGACGAACACTCACCGCTTGCGAAATTCCCATCGAACCCAAAATATATTGTAATTGGTTTAGCTAGCACAGTTGTGCAGTTTCCACGCATGGAGTGCACTCAGTCTATGCAGGACAACAGGCGGGTTTCGCTATGGGGTGTCATGGGGTGATTTGTTATTGGTTCAAGTGGGTAAGTGCGGTGGGAGTGGTTAATTATTGAAATGTCATGCGAATTGTGAAGTGCCGCATGCTGCGTTCACGATATTTTATTCTGTTTTAAATACTTAGTGGTCCTACATGAACGTAATTTAAAATTCGGTTCGTTGAACTAACGTTCGAGAATTTTTAAAAATTCAGACATTTGAAGATCAGATTACGAAGTCACTATCACATTTATTTTGTCGTTGTTATCATCATTTAAGATGTTTACACCTCAAGGAATCCGTTAGTACCAATTACGCATTTCCCAAAAATATAATTTAGTTTTAAACTTTCATGGTCACTATCATAAATATTGTTACTGACGGCAACTGTGCCGAAATATCGGATACTCAAAATTAAGGTACATGGTAGCAATCCCGTCAGTAATTATAATACTCGCAATTAACATAATTTAGACACCAATCGTTTAAATACAATTACGCCCTAATGTGTAAGATAATTTATACTTAGGTATAGTCCCAAGCTATGTATAACACTGGTTAAACCTACTAAAGTGACTTTAATCTATGTAAACTTTTGACACACTGTTTGCTTCATTCCGACGATAAATAATCGTCCATTAGTAAGTTGTGAGCGAGTCTTCAGCTCGCGCGGGTAGTTTCGGTTTAATTAAGACGCGTTTAATTAAGTTGAGGCAGCCGGGCCTACGGTGCGCTGTCAAGCGGATAGTTTGAAATAGCTGGTTACAGCGCTTCCACGAATGTCACGTATGTTTATCGTTATTAAACAGGTACGTGACGTTAGTGACATTCGTTATACAATCACTGACTTATGATTAAGTATAAAGGTTGATAGTTGTTACGCCCGTATTCACAAACACTACTATGAGGTCTCACAGTGCGCGTGGACGCACAGGGTGCCACGCCAACCAATCACAGAGCTCTATTCAACTCTGTGCGTTCGTTTTGCTGCTTCACTTATGCAAGCATCGTTTGTAAATTTTGATTGTTACATTTATTCTGTAAGAAAAATATTATCTTTAAACAGCCAAACACAAAAAAATGACATCGTGAACCAAAAATTCGTACACAATATGAAAATCAAACATCACGCTAGATAAAAACATTTCTAGGTACCCGCTATTTGTTTTGTTCTACTTAACTTCATATTTACTTTAGCATCTATGTACCTAGGTACATATTATGTAGTCCTATTGCCTAATAGGTAGTCGTAAGCTACTGAAATTACATTTCCATAAGTTAGATCAAAGCTCATCGCCCCTAGAGACGCAAGTTCGAGTGTACGTTTGTGTGTAACCCGAGCCTGCTCGGCGGCGTCTGCGGTCGCGCTCCTATGTCATCACCGACACTTTCGCTCACCACTGAAGGTACTTCTTTTGTTTTTTGTCGGGATTAGACCTACTGTGAATGAATGTCAGCAAAAACTGGTTTTGACCTCACTTTCAATCACAAAGATGTGATTCGAGTCTGACCTAAATTTAGCGCTCTAGAATGCCAATTTAGGAGCCTACATTATGGTATCACTTGTGTATTTAAAGCGATCATTAGTATCAATTAAAAAGCTACTGGCTCTACAAACTTACACTCACGTAGTATCTAATACTAGCCTTAGCCCTCAGAACTGATACGGTAAGTTTCGTGAAAGTTAGTTTGAGTTAAAGAATAACAAACATCCTTACAAGTTTTCGCATTATAAAAATAGTGGGATTATGTACATACTGCATTTTTATTCAATAATATTATTAGGTAGGTACCTGAAAAGCATTTTAACTGTTGTGATTCATATTCAAAAATATAATGCACATAGAACGTAAAGTGGAGCGAGGATACCAAGAATTTTCAGCACATTTATTGTCGTAAAAAACTTGTAGCGCCATCTAGCGGGTGGTGCACGAAGCGAATGCTTTTGCAGCCGCAAGGGTTTTCGTATGATTTGGAGGGGTGTGGGTTGCTATCTGCACTCTGTGAGAGCTTTTAGAAGCTAGCAGCTTCGCTAGATGTCGCTCTAACAAAGTTTGGCAAAAAAACATTTCAGGAAAAACTATGCTCTGTTTTGTTGTCAAAATATCTGCTACATTTGTCTATCTAGAAATGATTTGTATACTACGCATTTAGGGCTGATTTTGCACCCTTACTTTAAAAGTAAACTATTACCATAACCGGTGTTATATGTAGTTTGGTAGACTTTTGACTTTT